TCAGTTACCAGTGCAGGATTTGATGACAGCCTCTGATCTCAGCTGCTTCTAGTTGGCCACCTTGGCCCCACCCCCCAATAATGAGCTTTGAAATCGAATCACTAATAAAAACCTACCTACCAGAAAAAGACCTAGACCAGACAGATTCACAGCTGAATTCTACCAGACATACAAAAAAGGGGCAGTACAAATCCTACTGAAGTTATTCTAGACAAATGAAGGGGAGGAATACCTCCCTTACTCATTGTATTAAGCCAGCATTATTCTGATACCATAACCTGGCAGAGACACACACACACAAATAAAATTTCAGGCCTATATCTCTGAGGAACATAGACACAAGACTCCTCAATAAAATACTAGCAAACCAAATTCACCAGCAAATAAACAGTTAATTTACCACAACTGAGTAAGCTTTATTACAGGATGCAAGGTTAACTCAACATATGCAAATCAATAAATGTGATTCACCACATAAATATAATTTTTTTAAAAAAACATGTTGCCATCTTAATAGATATAGAAAAAGATTTCAACAAATTACACATTAAAGGAAAATATCTGAAAATAGTTAAGAGCCATCTATGTCAAACCCACAGCCAACATCGTACTGAAATGGCAAAACTGGGAAGCATTCCTTTTAATTACTTGAACAAGTTAGAGATGTCCACTCTCACCACTCTTATTCAACATAGTACTAGAAATCCTAGAAAATCCTAAAGACTCCACCAAGGGCTCCTAGAACAGATAAACAACTTAAGTAAAATTTCAGGAACAACAATAATGTACAAAAATCAGTAGCATTCTGATATGCCAACAGTAGTCAAACTGAGAGCCAAATCAATAATGCAATCTCATTTACAATACTCACAAAAAGAAAAAATATATCTAGGAATACAGCTAACTAGATTGGACAAAGCTCTCTACAATAAGAATTACAAAACACTACAAAAAGAAATCAGAGATGACACAAACAAATGGAAAAAATTTCATGATCATGGATAGGAATTATCAATATTGTTAAAATGGCCAGACTGTCCAAAGAAATTTAGACAAGATTCTGTGGTATTCTTGTCAAACTACCAGTGTTATGTTTCACAGAATTAGAACTAAACTATTCTAAAATTAATGTGAAACAAAACAAAACAAAAAAAGCCTGAATAGCCAAAGCAATCCTAAGCAAATGGAACAAAGCCAGAAGTATCACGCTACCCAACTTCAAATGATACTGCAAGGCTACAGTAATCAAATCATAAAAAAAAATTAAAAGACACATAAACCAATGGAAAAGGTAGAGAACCAGAAATAAAGCCACAAACCTAATACTGTTTGATATTTGACAAAATCAACAATAACAATGGTTAAAGGACTCCCTATTCAATTAATAGTGCTAGAATAACTGACTAGCCATATGCATAATATTGAAACTGGACCTCTCCCATTTGCCATATACAAAAATTAACTCAAGATGGATTAAAATCTAAAATTTAGGACCTAAAACCACAAAAATATGAGAAGAAAACATAGGAAAATACTATTGTGGACATCAGCCTTGGGGCCTTGGGAAATATTTAATGACTAAGACCTCAAAAGCAATTGCAACAAACACCAAAATTTGACAAGTGGGACTTAATTAAACTAAAGAGCTTCTGCATAGCTAAAGAAACTATCTAAAGGGTAAACAACTACATAATGGGAGAAAATATTCACAAATTATGAATCTGAAAATGTTCTAATACACAAAATCTATACAGAACCTAAACAATTCACAAGCAAAAATAAATAACCCCATTTAAAATGGGCAGATAATACTAACAGACACTTCTCTAAAGAAGACATACATGTGGCCAATAAATATATAAAAAATGCTCAACATCACTAATAATTAGAGAAACTCTACTCAAAACCACAATGAGATGCTATCTCCCACCAGTCAGAATGGTTATTATTTAAACATCCAAAGATAAGATACGTTGGTAAGGTTGCAGAGAATAGGGAACACTTATATACTGTTGTTGGGAATTTAAATTAGCTCAGCCACCGTGGAAAGAAATTTGAAAATATTTCAAAGAACTGTGAGCTACCGTTTGACCCAGCAATTCCATTGCTAGGTATATACCCAAAGAGGAATGAATTATTCTACCAAATGTTCATTGCAGCATAGCAATGACATGGAATCATAATATCAAAGACATAGAATCAACCTACATGCCCATCAAAGGTGGAGTGAATAAAGAAAATGTGTACATATACACCATGGAATGCTATGCAGCCATAAAAATAATGAAATCATGCCCTTTGCATAGATGCAGCTGGAGACCATTATCCTAGTGAATTAATGCAGGAACAGAAAACCAAATACAACATGTTCTCATTCACAAGTAAGAACTAAACTTTGGGTACACAAGGACATAAGGATGGGCACAACACACAGTGGGTATTATTAGAGGAGGAATGTCAGGAAGAGGGTGACAATTGAAAAACTATCAGGTACTATCCACTACCTGGGTGATGGGATCATTCATACACCAGCCATGGGTGGTACACTATTTACCGACATAACGAAATGTGCACATGTGCCCCTTGAACTTAAAATAATAGAAAAAAAAGAAATAACCATTGCATTTAGAAACATGAAAGTTACCAAAAATTTAACAAAGAGCATTTCTAGTGGAATTGTAGAGGTATTAAAGGCCAACGCAAGAGTAGTGAGCGTGAATTAAGTGAAGACATAATTATTTATGTGAGCATAATTTTATCCAGACTTGTTCAACTGTAAAGACTTATGCAGAAATAAAGCATTTTCATTCCACTAGTATGAAATGTAGTGAAAAGGCAAGTTTATAGAGACGGAACATAAATTAATTGTTGCCTAGGGTTATGGTTGGAAACAGGAATTATCTGTAAATTGACAAGAAAGATTTTATGAGGCGATGGGTGAAAATACCCTAAAGTGATTTATGATGATGTCCTCAGTACAAGTTATTAAAAATATTGAATTGTATACAGTTGAAGTAGGTGAATTTTAGGATATGTAAAACATATATCAATAAAATATTTTTTAAACCCATAGAATGATTGCATCCATAAAAACCTAAGCCAGATGTTGCATTTTCCACTGCCAACCCCCTGTTTTGTACCCAATAGATTTTACATCAAATATACCTAATACAGAACTTGGAGTTCTTGGATTCAATTGTTTATGCTCAATTCAAAATTTATAAGGGTACAGCTTATATCTCTTAGCTTCAAAATAACAAACTAATAAACTAAAATGCAAGGTTTTCATGAATTTAGAACTTTAGACCTAATGAATCTTATATTGAAAAATGGATTAATAAAACAAATCTACATTTTACTACATTCCTGATTTTAGGTAACATAAAATCAGGTTTTTTAAAAAAGATGTATCTAAACTTTTAAGGGAAAATAATATCGTATTATTTGTTATAAATTATCCCCTAATACATACTGTAGATTCTGAATAACCCTCCTGCTCAAGTATCACATGGCCTGCTTCGATGCCTCATGTCCTTTGCAGGGACATGGATGAAGCTGGAAACCATCATTCTCAGCAAACTGACACAAGAACCGAAGAACAAACACCACATGTTCTCACTCATAAGTAGGTGTTGAACAATGGAGACAGATGCACACAGGGAGGGTAACATCACACACTGGGGCCTGTTGGGGATTGTGGGGATTGGGGAGGAATAGCAGAGGGTTGGGGGAGTGGGGAGGGATAACATTAGGAGAAATACCTAATGTAGAAGACAGGGGAATGGATGCAGCAAACCACCATAGCATGTATATACCAATGTATCAGTCCTGCACCATCTGCCTATGTACCCCAGAACTTAAAGTATAATAAAAAAATAAAATTAAAAGAAAACCTTTATAGTGAAGTGCTTATACCATGAATCATCATACTTTTCTCATGCCAGGGTTGCACATGTTCATTCACAGTTACAGTGGAATAATCCCAAATGGCTTACTTGGATTCCACCTATATTCTCTGCTGCCTCCATTGGGTAAGACACCCTTACCTCCTCCTGCTGATTAGAGCCTGTTTTCCTTAACAGTGCAGTCATTGTTCTTTGTCATTTGTTTGCTATATAATCCCTGGACAGAGGATTCTAACATGAACTGCAGCATCTTCGATTTCTGAAAACGCAAAACTGGGCCACTCTGCAAACCCGATGAGCCCAATAGAGGTGGGTTTTATATCCTCAGAGACATACATCCAGGAGTAATCTGAAATTTTAATGAACCGCTCTGGTGCATGGAATGAACTGGCTCTAGCACACCAATGCCAAGGGAACTTGTGAACAGCAGAGATGAGTCAAGCTTAATGGGGCCTGAAACATATAAAACTTGATAAATTCTGAAAATACAAAGTTAGGTTTATGACTTTGAAGAGAATCTGTACAAGTAAGTCGCTCTTAATTTTTTGCTTCCTTAGCTTTATGGTAAATCTACTTTTGGCAAACAGGTATTTTAACACACTAAAGTGGGTATACAGCTTTCAAAAATGAGCAGCAGTAAGAAGACAGAGATTGGACTCAGATATCATCGGCGTAAATGTCACAGACTAGCTAGAGGCTAGGAACTCTGAAGGAACAGAGCTAGGTCAGACTTCAGGGAGCTTCTGGTCAGCCCAAGAAACTTCAAGCAGAAGTGGAAATAGATACTTTCTGCTATGAGGCTGACTAGCAGTCCCTCTTGGCTTTATGAGATGAGGGTCTTAGGCTCCTTTCACTTCATTCAGAGCACCTTTCTGGATCCAAATTTGATAGGGTAGAATTTGGACTGCAAATACAGAGAATACAATGGACATAAGTCATGAGATTCAAGCCAGGTGATTTATTTCATAGTTTAAAATCCTCAGCAGTGACAAGAGCAGTGGGAGAGAAATTGTGTTTGTTTCCTTCTTGGTTCAGGCCAGCTTCTGATAATGTATATGTTACTCTCCTCTCTCCGAGCATTAACATTCAAGGTTGTTAGAGGCTGGTGCTGCAGGAGAAAACAAAACAAAATGCCAGTGTTGCTCATGTTCTTTATTGTAGCTAACACATTCCTAACTCAAGTAATTTTAAAACTATGGGTGATTAAAAGCAAAAAAATTAAGAAAATAAAAATCCCAGAAAAATATTACCTGTTATCTCGACTGAAGTTACTCTTAGTTTTATAACAGAAGTGACTTGTTAAAGTACACTGATTTTTTTATCCACATTTGGTAACTATTTAGGTCAATAAATAAAGTGCTTTGGAAACTCCATTCTAAAAATATGCAGCGATTTTATTTTAAAACTAAAAGGTCATAATTCTAAGTACCTTTTTGTTAGATAACACCAATATGCACATGTGCACACGCATGCATGCATGCACATTGATGTGTATATCTATGTAATGAAATTTTTAATAATCACCATCCCTGGTGTTGGGACTAATGATGATTACTATTTCATTATTTTACTCACATATTTTTAATCAATGTTTATTATGTGTTAGTGCTGTAATAAGAAGAATGATTCACACACTCACATACACACATTATGTATTGAATAAGAGAAGAAAATGATGGCAGATTCAAGCATTCCAATTTCTCTGGCTAGAAAAGAATTTTAACACTATTAAAAGTTAAAATCATTCTTTGGAACTTTAAAAAATGAAACCAGTTAAATATAAAATGAATTCAAAATGTTTGTTGTAAACATAAGTATAAAATTAAAAATGACAAAATATTTTAAAACCAAAATAAATAATATTTAAAAGCAGAAATTTATTAACAATAGGCTAAATCTAAAATCTCAATTACATAACAGAAAGACGAGTGAAGGGAGAGATTTATTAAAGGTAAAATATACTAAGCTTCCCTCATACTAAAAGGAGTCTCAAAATGCCTCTAATTCCATATGTTCATATTTTGTATTTTCTACTTCTATTTCCATATTCTTTATATAAATAGCTCATCACAAAGTGACATAGTGGAAAATTACAAAGAAAATTCAATAAGGTAGTAAAATAAAAGAAGTAGAATTTAAGATATGCTAGGGCTCAGAAAGTATACCACTTGCTAAAAACTAGCTAAAAAGTAAATAAATTATGAATGTTACAATTGGATACAATGGACTGATAATTTAATAATAGATACTTAAAAACAATGGAAGTCTTCATATTACACTATCTTTATTCTTTGGTATTTTCTGGGTATTTATCTGTCTATAACTGGACAATTGCTCACAGACATATATTCATACATACCTAAAAACTGGAAGTAGCATAAATATTCATAATAGACTTTTAAAATAAATGATTTTTATTTTAATTTGAATACTATATGCCACAAAATGATATGACTGCATTTAAGATATAAAATTTTGTCCATAATATTCTCAAAGTAAAAAAAAATATTTTTAATGCTTCACTTAGAAAAATACTTGAGAAGGTATACATATAAATTGTTGGTGGAAATCTTCATTTATTGTAATTATGAAAATATTTATCTTAATTCATGTATCTACCAAAATTTCTCAGATATTTTAATCAGAAAATATACTTTTAAAAAACAAGCAGGCTGGGCATGGTGGCTCATGTTTGTAATGCCAACATTTTGTGAGGCCAAGGCAGGAGGATCACTTGAGCTGAGGAGTTTGAGACCAGCCTGGGCAACATAGGGATACCCTCATATCTACAAAAAGTAATTGGCCAGGAGTGATGGTGTGTGCCTGTAGTCTCAGCTGCTTGGAAGGCTGAGATGGGAGGATCAGTTGAGCCCAGGAGATTGAGGCTGCAGTGAACTAAGTGAAATGTGATGATGCTACTGCACACCAGCTTGAGTGACAAAGTGAAACCCCCTGTCCTAAAAACTCAATGAATCAATAAACAAATAAACAGGTTGATATTTTAATTCATGTTATTTAATACTAAGGTTTACCTGGATACTACATATACTTCTTCCATATGAATTTCAGAATCTTTTTCCTGATTCTCCTTGCCCAAGTCTCCAAAAAACTTTTGACTGAGTTTATGTTAAATAAACAGAGACCCGCATATACATATATTATTGATAATGGGAAAGAAGGCAATAAGTTTTCAAGTCGGGTTGTTTCCAGTGTTTTGATCAACGAGCTCTGCCATGAACATTCTTGTGCATGTCTCTTGACCCACACACGTGCACATTACTAATGGTACACATCAACGAGTGGAATCCGCTAGGTTGTAAAATACGAATTAGCCAAGTCTTAATAGATTTTACCAGTTTTCCAAATTGATTTTACAAATTTACATTCCCTTCAAGGGTATATAAAAGTTCTAGTTGCTCCATATTCTCACCAATTGACATTGTACATTGTTATAATGATAGGCATCTAGCATGTGTTTAGTAGTGTCATACTGTGTTTGCAATTTGCGTTTCGCATCTGATCATTGAGCTTCAGCACTCCTGACAGCCAGAGCTCTTACTGAACTGACACCCCCACTCCACTACATACCCACATACCTGGCCACCAGCTGCAACTCAACTATGGTTTTCCTGTGCTGTAGATGGTTTCTTTCTGCATGCCACACCACTAATGACCAGATCTGACTCAAGAAAATGAATAAACTTCCCCTGCCATTCAGTAGGTGGCAACTACATCTTTTCCACCTCAGGCATGGAAAGGATACCCTCTTCTACGTCAGTCCTTCATTATGTACTCTCCACTAGGGTTTCATAAGAGGATTTTCCTCAATATCTTATAGTTATTCTTCTACTATACTTAAATTAGTCTTTATACCCCTACTTAAATCACTGTGTGGTTTCTACTCCCCGACTGCTATAATAGATTACAAAAATATTCAGACTTAAAAGATGCTTAACTCCTGAACAGTAGTCAGAAATATGCTGTACCAGAATACCCTCATGCCAGCACCACATGAGCGTTTTAGTAGCTTGATATCCTTGCCAACTTTTGATGTTGTCCAATCTTTTTTAAATTATTATTATTATACTTTAAGTTTTGGGGTACATGTGCAGACAGTGCAGGGTTGTATACAGATGCCATGGTGGTTTGCTGCATCCATCCCCCCATCACCTACATTAGGTATTTCACCTAATGTTATCCCTTCCGAATCCCCTCACTGCCTACTATCCCTCCCCTAGCTCCCCGACCTCCAACAGGCCCCAGTGTGTGATGTTCCCCTCCTGTGTCCATGTGTTCTCATTGTTCAACAATTACTTATGAGTGAAAACACGTGGTGTTTGGTTTTTCTGTTCTTGTGTCTGTTTGCTGAGAATGATGGTTTCCAGCTTCATCCATATCCCTGCACATGAACTCATCCTTTTTTACGGCTGCATAGTATTCCATGGTGTATAAGTGCCACATTTTCTTTATCCAGTCTATCATTGGTGAGCAATGGGTTGGCTCCAAGTCTTTGCAATTGTAAACAGTGTCACAATGAACATACATGTGCCTTTAAAATAGAACAATTTATAATCCTTTGGTAGTGGGATTGCTGAGTCAAATGGTATTTCTAGTTCTAGATCTTTGAGGAATCGCCACACATTTTCTTTGTTTTTTTTCTCTCTATTCCACTTTGGGAAGATGGAAAGATGTGTTTTTGAAAAAACATGTTGTATTTTAGCTATTTAAACTTATTAAATCTGACTTTTTCTAATGTCCAGAAAATTAAACATGATATCATTTTAGTACCTGATAGTAATTTGTATCATTTCTCTTTTTGTTTTGAACTATTAGCTAATGTTTATAATATTAATCTTTTCAAAGAATTAGCCTTTGTCTTTGCTCATGTTTTATTTTTTCTGTTTATTTTCCTTTACATTATTTCTGCTCTTTATTATTTCCTTCTATCCACAATTTTTGAGTGTAAATAGCTCTTTTTTCCATCTTTTTGGTAGGAATTATAACCAAAACATTTCAATTATTTGCCCTTCTCTAGTATGCATCACAAAAGGATCAAAGTAAGGATCAAAGATAATCTTGCCTAGAAAGCAGAGATATGCTTAATTTTTGTAGAACCTAAAACAGCCTTGACAATAGAATTAGGATGGTGATGGCCCATACTTAACAGTGCTTCACTTAAAAGTAGGAATTCCTTCACTGCAGATATTTATCTCAATATTTGCTAAATGAATTATCACAGTGTTTAGCTTTGTACTTCAAGGATGAAAAGAGAGAACATGAGAAATAATATTAGATGCTACTTGAAATACTCTCTCATTTTATACTCTATCCAGCATTTGGTAAGAAAAGTCTATATATACTGATAGTAAATGAGGATTATCTAACTTCATAAAATGTTGTATTTGATTCTTCCATAATTTGATCCCTAAATTTGCTGTCCCGGATGAATTGAGACTGGTAAATGAATAATTATTCCAAGGTTCAAACTTACTTTCAGTAATTTTTTTCTGAGATAATAGCAGAGCTATAAGCATCTATGACATCATTTAGAGCAGGGGTCCCCAACCCCACAGCCATGGACTGTCAGGAACCAGGCCACAAAGCGTGAGGTGAGCACAAGCTAGCAAGCATTACTGCCTGAGCTCTGCCTCCTGTTAGGTCAGGTCAGCAGGAGCATTAGATTCTCACAGCAGTGAGAGCTAGTGTGTGTGTGTGTGAGTGTGTGTGTGTGTGTGTGTGTGTGTGTGTGTGTACTGCATGTGTGAGAGATCTGCTCCTTTCAGGTCAGGTCAGCAGGAGCATTAGATTCTCATAGCAGCGAGAACTATTGTGTGTGTGTGTGTGTGTGTGTGTGTGTGTGTGTGTCTGTACTGCACGTGTGAGAGATCTAGTTTGCACGCTCCTTATGAGAATCTAACTAATGCTTGATGATGTGAGCTGGAACAGTTTCATCCTGAAACTAACCCCTTAAACTCTGCCCTGTGGGAAAAACTTCTTCTACTAAACCAGTCACTTATGCCAAAAATTTTGGTATCGCTGATTAGAGCATCACTTATCTTTTTATATGCCAATAAGATATCACTAAAATACAAGTGCTCCTACCCAATGCTAAAGAAAGAAAAAAACAAACCCATGATGTACATGCTCATAGATGTAGTTGCTAGTGTGAGTGCACAAAAATCTCTCTTTAGTATAGGTCAAGAAGGAGAGGCTCAGATAGCATAAAACCAAGTTTTATTATTTGTTATTATAAAATAACCTATAGTGAGAATTAAACAAATACATTAAAAAATGTTTGGTTTCAAACTAACCATTTTTAAGTGCTCCTAAGCAATGATCAAAACATACAATGCAAAATGATTCAACACATAGTTCTACACTCACCTTTCACTGAGGGATAACTTGCTGCTACTGCTGCTTTCTTCTGACACAGAGCTATAAAATTGATAAAATTTGTTTTAAAGTGAGGAAAATTGTAATTCTTGAATAATTAAATAACTGAATGAAAAATGTTCTTTAAAGAAATACCATGATTCAAATAAGTGAAATATCTCCTTTTAACAACTTCAACAGGTACTGTTTCAATGTTAGAGCAAATGCCATCAGTTACCTCACTCTGGGAATTGAGTCTTCTCATTCTACATTAATCAAGAATTAATGTTTATAAACCCACATTTGTATACTCAGGTCCCATTATTCTGTGATATCCCTAATTCCTCAGTTCCAATAAGCCAAACCATAAAGTAGCACTCAGAAAGTTTAAATACTTTTCTATACAGTTCAATATATTTCTTTCTCTCTCTCAGAAAATATAAATATGTTTTATCTTTGCATCAGTTCTTGGAGTGTAAAACTAGATGTAAATTTATCTGTGATGAAATACTGGAAATCATGAATAAGGGGCTTAATATGATATTTAAAAATTTGTATAACCGATTACAGATAGCATGATTTTCCTCATTAAATTGATGTACCCAAAAGTTTAGATATATTGAAAAGCTATTACTATCTCCCGTTCTGTAGAATTACAGAGAATAATATTAAGTAAAAATCAAATCACAGTGTTACATGCAAGATTTACAACTTAAAACAAGGTCTCCTGAAGCTAAGTGTGACTCTCTTCCTACTGCACGGTGGTGTCTCCTGCCTCTTTATCCAGCCATTATTAACTACACATTTCTAGTTAAGAAATGATTTTACAAATCAGCAATATCTATATTTAGAAAAAATAAATATTGTCAAATATTTTAGGTTTATAGATATTATCTCTAACTGAGAGAGGTGTTCTAATAAAGACATTTATCACTGACCTGAGAATCTGTATCTAATAAATTTAGTTTGGGGAAGTTCTCTTGAAATACAGTGTCATATAATTCTCATGGAGCTCATAGGTGATATGACTCTACAGACAGGGTCAGTAAACTAAGAGGCTAAACCAACCTCCAAAAGTCCCCTGGCAGCCATGTCTGCTCCTACCGTACTAGTGGTAAACTGGGTAGCTTTAGTAATTTGTAAGATGAGAGAAAATATCAAAACAAATAACAGAAGGGCATCAACCCATTTTAAAATGTCTCCCTGAGCCCCTCCTTATGTTGCCTTACCTATAGTTGGAGATTATTCCTGATGAATGTGAATACATTTTTCTTGTCTTTCTTAATGTAATTAAGAGTAAATATACATGTATACGTATATTTACATACATGTGTGTATATTATATATATGTGTGTGTGTGTGTGTGTGTGTATACCTCTCACTTTCAGTTTCCCCTCTGTAGCATAGCTCTCTTAATTTTTTCCGTTTTATTAAAACGGCAATAGTAATAATAAGCACAGGTAGAGAGATGTAGAAAATGAGTTGAAACCGTTGTTTTGGAAAAGTGGCATGTCTTTCCTCCTCCATGTAGCTTTTCCCTGGAATGAAAAATAGCGATTTTAAGTTATTCCACAGATTTTATCAGCACAATGAAAAGGAGAAGATATCATTACCAACATCATTTCCAAACATTAAGCATTTCTTTCACATATATAAAATGAATATAATAAAAACAAAAACACTAATGTATAAAATGGGATCTTACTAGAGTTTTATTGATGATTTTTGAGTTCTCAACCTTCCACCATATGATGAACTAATATCTTATTTGTTCGGTTTCTCTGGAGAACCCTGACTAATACAGATTTTGGTACCAAGATATGAGCTGCTGCTCTAAAAACTACCTAAAAATGTAGCAGTGTCTTAGGAACTAGGTAATGGATAGAGGTTGGAATCATTTTAAAGTGCAAATTGAAAAAAAAAAAAGCCTAGATTGCAATAAAGGATGGTTGATAGAAATATACATACTAACGGTGATTCTGGTAAGAGCTCAGATAAGCATGAACAGAATGTTGGTAGAAATATGAATATTAAAGGTGCTACAAGTGAGGTCTTAGAAGTAAAGCAACATATTATTGGACAATGATGGCAAGTTCATTCCTGTTATAAAGTGGCAATGACTTGGCTAAATTGTGTTCTAAAGTTTTGTGAAAGATAGAATTTACAAGCTGCCATTGGGTACTTAGCTGAGATGATTCCTAGGCAAAATGTTCAAGGTATAGCCTGAGTCCTCCTGACTGCTTATAGTAAAATGGAAGAGAGGAGAGATGATTAAAAGGCAGGTGCTGATCAATAAGAACACAAGGACACAGGGAGGGGAGCATCACACACTGGGGTCTGTTGGTGGGAATAGGGGAGGGACATCGGGTGTTAGGGAGGTTGGGGAGGGATAACACGGGGAGAAATGGCAGATGTAGGTGACGGCGGGATGGAGGCAGCAAACCACATTTCCATGTATGTACCTATACAACAATCCTGCATGATCTGCACATGATCTGCACATGATCTGCACCCCAGAACCTAAAGTACAATAAAATATACGTATATAATAAATAAATAAATAAATAAAGCAATTGAAGTAATTGTTAACCAGAAATTCTCAGCCTATCCATATTTCCAAAAATCAGAACACGTGTTCTGGAGAGAATACCAAGGTTGTGGCTAGAAAATCATTTGATAAAGAGACTATGGACATGAATAATGGAATTTAATCAGCCATCTTGACAGAAACCAGAAACGTAAGACATTACCAGCATAGATAGAATTATACTGGCAGAGACACTGCCAGTTAAAAATGAAGAAAAAAGAATTGGACAGAAGGGCTACTTGGCTATGAGCATGCTTTATCTTTCAAGAAAAGTAAAGAATAATCGTGCCTGTGACTCAAAGATTATCAGGGGTGCCACAGATCAACGGACCAAGGCTGCCTTCTCTTTGTTTATAGAGGGTGGGGCTTCCTTTTAAATTTCAGTGGACCAAGTTGCCCTATCCCAGTGCCTTACAGGTGGGACATTGTAAAGATGATATGGACAGGGGAGCCTCGCAAGCCAAGGGAGTGAGGTTGCCACTTAGGATTGTGGAGGGAAGAACATTAAGCCAAGTAGGATTACCTTCAAGCCTAAGATACAACGGAACTTGCACTACTAAGTTCTGAAATTGCTTGAAATGGATCACCTCTTCCTTCTAATTTTTCCCTTTCTGAATGGGAATGTCTGTCCTATGCTTATTTCACCATTATATTTTAGAAACACATAATTTGTCTAGTTTTACAGGGTCACAGCTGGGGAGAAATTTTGCCTCAAAATGAATCATATCTCAAAATTTACCCATTCCTGATTTAGAGACTAGTCAGATGAGACTTCGTACTTAAAATTGATGCTGGAATGGCTTAAGGCTTTTGGGACTCTTGGTATGGGATGAATGATTTTTTGCATGTAAGAAGAACATGAATTTGAGAGACACAGAGAAGAATTTTATGGACTGACTTGTGTCCCCCTAAATTCATATGTTTAAGCCTCAACCCCCAATGTGATGATATTTGGAGATGAGGACTTTGAGAAATAATTAGGGTTAAAAGAGGTCATAAGTGTGGGGTCCTAATTTGATGGGATTGTTGTCTTTATAAAAAGAGAAGAGACCAGAATGCATGTGCTCTTGCCCTCCCTCTCTCTATCTCTCTCTCTCTTTGTCTGTCTGTCTCTCTCTCTCAATCTCTCTCTCCATTCACAGAATTATTGTTGAAAAGATGTGACAAAATTACTATTAATTGCAGTTTACATCATTTAAAAAATGTTAGCACCCAAGAAAATAAACTAAAAGACTTCTCAATATAGTGATAATCCATTGATCAAACTTATACACAAAAATCAGCAGATTTCCTTCATGTAACAAGTCATGTTAAAATACCATGACAAAAATATCTCCCAATAGCCAATTTTTAACAAAACCATACTCTTTTAAAAAATGAAAAATTTCTGATCTATAAGCTCCTATTATACCTATACACTGATGAAAGACAAAAAGATACCACTTCACACCCATCAGAATGGCTATCAGAAAAAAAACAAAAACAGAAAATAACAAGTAAAAATAACCAGGATGTGGAAAAATTGCAACAGAAAATACCTCATGCACTGCTCGTGGGAATGTAAAACAAAGTCACCTTATATTAATATTTTGTATTTTGTTCTTTTCCCAGGAATCTTCCACACTAGTCGTTAACCTGAAGTTTTCCTATCCCAGTGACAAATTCACTCATGTATAAGACTTTCAGTACTACAACTAGGATAAGTTCTAGGCAAACCTGTGTGATTGATATCCTAGGCCTACCAGTCTAATTCCAGATGGAAGTCCAGATGGCAGCACATGAGCCTGCAGTCGCAGAAAACCTTCTAACCCAACTAGTTTCCTTTAGCCAGCTGCCATGGGCTTTTCTTTCATCTCTTCCATTCTGGGGCTTACTCATCTACCCTGAAAGATCTGGGCTGATATGCTAGGTGGCTGTATGTTTTGTCCTTATGTAGTCCCTTCTGAGGCCCTGTACCCAGTCATGGAGGCCTCGGGCTTTCCCCAATAAAGCCTGGACTCAACATGGGAGAAACACTTGTGATCCTGAATGCATTTTAGGGCATTAAGAGTTTGGGTTGCAAAGGTCACTTCAGTGAGTTCAGGTTTATTTAATTATCCTTATTCTACTTATTTTTTAATATCACTGATTTGTGTTAACATAATATAACCCAGAAAAAATGTCAAATTATGGATTTTATGATTGCCTTAATTGTAAGCCAAAAACATTATCAATTTTTGTTACTATTTCATGGATACTTTTAAAGAATTTGTAATCTGCTTTTACAGTATTATGGATATAGATATAATCATATAAACGTACATAATTGAATATATATGTGCTTGTATATGACTATCTGTTTTATGCATGTGCTAGAGTTTAAATTCACATATATTTTTGCCTAATTGTCTACTTAGTACATACAATTATAAAGAGTATATTTTAATCTCACTTTATGATTTTTCTTTTTATAGTTTTCATTTTATCCTAACCCCCAGAGATAACCATTAATAATGTTATATACATTCCTGATTTTCAGAGGTTATCATCAACCGTTTTAATCTTTGACAAGCTCATAGGCCAGAAAAAAAATTATATTCTACTTGCATTTTTTTAATTTTATGGGGCTTCCCACTTACTTGATGGTGATAGGAAATTTATAATTTTTCTGTGAATTACTATTTCATGACCTTTGTTTCTCTGCTCTATGGGTTTGTTTGACCTTTTATAATATACACATGCAAACACAAACACACTTAAGTGTTGTACGGTTATAAGTTATAGACTAAATTATTATGGTTTTTTTTTGTTTGTTTGTTTGATACATAGTTTCATGTGGCTTTGTATTGTCTTTTTAAAAGTTGATCACCTGAGGTATGCCTTTATGTAGCATCGACGCTACAGATAAGTCTGCTCCAAAGTTTCAGGACTTTCTTGCAAGGTCCTAAAAGAGATGGATAGAGTTGGCAGCCCACCTATGTCCCAGTTATTTTGGGTAGGCTCATACCTTCTAGAACCAGGGTATGCCCTTCCCTTCCAGTTGTCCCCAATTTATCTATGCCTGATTAATCTCAAAATGCTACTCAGGAACATCAGGACAGGATTAGAAAAAGCAAATTTCCAAAATTAGCATAGAGCCCTTACAATACAGGAGAAAGATTATTGAACTATGAAGTGAATAGGAAGAAAAGACAACCTGAAAGATTCTAGAGGCATGAATATAACAATGACTAGACTGACACTATTATAAATGAGAAATATAGGAGGCAATCCACAGTGAACAGTTTAACTGGTTGGCCAGGTGCGGTAGCTCATGCCTGTAATCCCAGCACTTTGGGGTGCTGAGGTGGGTGCATTACAAGGTGAGGAGTTCGAGACCAGCCTGGCCAAGATGGTGAAACCCATCTCTACTAAAAATACAAAAATTAGCTGGACGCAGTGGCAGATGCCTGTAATCCCAGCTACTTGGGAGGCTGAGCAGGAGAATCACTTGAATCCTGGAGGCAGAGGTTGCAGTGAGCCGAGATCACATCACTGCACTCTAGTCTGAGAGACAGGGCAAGATTCTGTCTCAAAAAAAAAAAAAAAAAAAAATCAACTGGTCAAATTTTATGCACCAAAGTTTCTTCTTTTAAAATTGTCTAACATTGGCCATACTTTTTCTCAGTAAACAACGTCAATGCTGATATAAAAAGAACAGTACAAACTTACACTGTCAAAATTTTTTAAATCTTACAAATAAAAGCATGTTTGTTGACATTACTTGCTTTGTAATCTGGCTTGAAACTTATAATTTATCTTCTTACATACTGTACATAATTAATAAAATTTTAAGAAACTAACCTTGTATGACTAAGTGACCATCATCAATACTTCCAAACGCTCCTTTTTTTGGTTTGCAGTGAGGAGGATTATAGCCGTTTTCACAATGGCAATGGCCAAAATTATTGCAAACCTTAAATAATAAAAAAATAGAATAACTTCAATGGAGACTAATGAATAATCTATACTTAATCCACAGAGTATCTCATTCTAGAGAATTTATCTAAATAGATAAATGTATCAAATTTTCTCTTGCTAATGTTCATACTATGAAAAGCACATCTAGCTCCTATTGTCAAATCAAATTTTTTTTCTAAAAAATTCTTTTAACCCCCACCCCCACCCACAGCCAGGCCCAAATACCTCAAATTACCAGTGACCTGACACTAACTATAATCTACTTGCTAGTTGACTGCCCAGACTGTAAATTAACTTGCAAGACTAGAAAGAAAATTCTACTGATCTTTATTTACCAGCCTGTCTTCTATTGCTTACAGCACATCCACCTCACATATTTATCAAACATTTTATACATCCAGAATCATCTTAAATGCTTTCTCTTTGTCTTCTCTAATAAATAGTTCGATATGTTTCTTAAGAAGACAAAATTGATGTTATAAATTATAGACTGTAAAATGACATGCAAATGGCAAACAAAAAAAGTCATTCATTTTTTAAAATCCCCAAATTGTTAGATTGTTAAAAGACGGCTGCTGAAAATAAACATTGCAGTTACTTACTCCATGACGATTGCAATCAACAGAAAAATTACACAAATTCAAATCCATCAGGAATCTAGCATGTTTACAGCTCATATTTAAACAGTACTAAAAACAAAGCAAAAAAAAAGTACAAAATAAAGTCAGTGAAAAAATCAGATTTTGTGCATGGCTAACACATTTAAAAATTCAAGAAAATACCAGAATTCATATTAACTAAAATTTGCATTAAAAGCTATGAGTGTCCAGTAAAAAAATAATTGTGACTACATTGAAGTAAACATGAAATAAACTATGTACATTCAGCTTGTAAAGATGTAATCCTATGTAAGAAGCCAGAGATGTTATTTTCTTTCCATCTAGTACCAGAAGCAACTTAGAAAGATAAATTACTGGAAAAATAACTTGATTAGTTCTTTGAGTTCAAGAATTATCTGAGGAGCATTTTCAAATATACTAATGTGTGGGCTCCCCTTGAGAACATTATATCAAAAACTCTGGGGAGAGGATCCAGCTGATTCTCAGAAGCAGCCAGGTTTGAGAACTATTGAGCAGAGAGGTGAGATCTTACTTTTTTTTTTAATTGTACTTTAGGTTCTGGGGTACGTGTGCAGATCACGCAGGATTGTTGCATAGGTGAGATCTTAAAACCATGTGTATGAGCAGTAAAGGAAGATAGCTTACTATTCCATGTGACAAAATGCAAAGAAAGAGGGAAGAAAGGACAACAGGTCATTATATGAGGCAATAGGACAATAGGAAACTCCCATTGGTGAGACAGATAAAAGGCCTTCTAAGAAAAAAAATGTTTAAGGGTTAAATTTACATCTTTCTAATTTATGGCAGACATTTATGTGATCTTCTTTAATTATAAAAAAAATTTTTCTAAATTTACCACTTTGTGAAAGAGTTTTATATTTGGAGTGAGTTTTGTCTTTGGGTCATTATAATGACTATAGGCAGAAACAGGAGAGTCAGGACTCTGTAATGAAGGTTTGAGCTAAAATAACTTAGATTTCAAGGGTAAGGGAGGCTTCAGATCATATTTGTATTCCATATGTTTCAAAATGAGCAAGAAATAACAGGTACTTTGCTTTTTTCATGTGTTATTTAATACCAAAATGTTACTAAATGGAAATAAATTTGTATGCAGAAGCTTTCTCTCAAAAACAGTATGTTAATTTAACTTCACATAGTATCTTGACTTAAATCAATTAGAATATTAAAATAGCATTAAATATTTTGTTAATTTATAGAATACTAGATGTTTCTAACAATGTTACATAATTATATTATGCTATGTTAATTGTTAATGTTGTTTTTATATTTTGATGTTATATAATTAATAACCATATTGTGCATTATATTATAGTAGAACATAATATTCTAATACTAGTTTAATTAAAGTATTCATCTACCAATCAGAAAAAAATCAGAGTCCATTATAAAAATTAAAACCAGCATACACTGGCTTTTCTATTGAAACAATAAATACAATTCAAAAAACATTATTGCAAAAACCATGCTAATGAAGAAAAATTCTTGATCACATAATATCTTACTCAATAAAAACTATTCTTCATCTGAGATCTCCAGCTTTTCTCTAAAAATTTACTCACTAATAATGTATGCAAAATTATTAGATTATATATCAGAATATAAAAAGAAATCATGTATAAAAATTACTAAAATAAAATATTCTGTTAGAAAGAAGTGTGGAGATCATTAATAGCATATACTGCTGAACTTGTATTGCCTAACTTTTCAATATTGTGTTTAAACATTCTTTAAGAGGCCCACCTAAGGTCCACCTAAAGATTACTTAATCATCAGAGTGAAAGCTTATACCATATAAAGACATTACCAGGTGAATAGGTAGAACAGAAAGGAGAGATGGAAACCTAACAAGCATATTAGCACAGGAGGCCTGTTTGAATGTGCAGGTCTGAGACTGTTTTCTCTATTCGGAGACATAAGGAAAACTGTGAGAGTGAGAAACTTGAAACCAGATAGGGAACTCCACCACACCTCTCTCTGACAGAGAGACACGTTGTTGGCTTGCCTGAGGAATCTACTATCCTTCCAGTAGGCACCAGCAAAGACCACGGAGAGCCCCAGTGGCACTAGATAAACCAAGGCAACCGAATAACATTGTAAAGTTTCTCAAAATTAAACTGCCTTTGGAACAGCCCACAAAAGAAGGCCAGACCTAAACAAGATTACTTCCTGCTAAAACAGGGCTTTATATTTGACACAGAGTCTCCTAACATAATAAATACAATTTCTGGATACAACTAAGGTCATTCCAAGAGCTAAGAAAATCACAACCCGAATAATAAAAGACAACCAACGATATCAGAACCAAGGTGATTCAGATGATGGGATACATAACAAGGATTGTAAGGCAGTCATTATAGAAATACATCAACAATCAATTACAAATCTTCTTGAAACAAATGAAAATAAATACAAAAATCTTAGCAAAGGAACAGGTGATATAAAAATGGACCAAATGGGAATTATATAATGAAAAAATACAATGATCTAAATTAAAAAAAAAAAAAAAAGCCTAGTGACTGAGCTCAATAGTAGAATGAAGATGACAGTGGATAGAATCAGTAAACCTCAAACAGCAAAGAAATGTTTATTAAGAATCTTGGAACATCACAAAGGAAGGAAAAATCAAGAAAAGGAAAATGGGTAAATAAAATGGACTATCAATTCCTTTAAAGGTTTTTAAAATTATAGTTAATGATTGAAACAAAAATTATAACATCACCAATGGCATTTCAATGTAGGGAAGGTAAATACAACTAAAATGGAAGTGAGATTGTTTTCTCATTTCACTCGAAGTGGCAAAATATTTATTGTAGCAGTCTCTTTGGGCCACATACGTATATTGTAAAACCTTGAGCAGTCACTATGAAAACTATATAATGAGATGGATGACTTAGAAACATCATAACTGGATCAAGAGAGCATCCTAAAAAAATGCTTAAATCATCCACTGAAAGGCAAGAAAAGAGAAAAATAAGAATAGGAACCAGAGGAAAGAAGTAATGAAATAATAGAGACTTAAGCAATAACATTATACCAATCAAAAGACTATGCCACACTGTATTAAAGGCATGACTCAACTATGTGACGCTTTTAAAAACTCACCCCAAATTCAATGGCAGAGATAGATTTAAATAAAAAGGACAGAAAAATATATATCATTCAAACATTCATCCACAAAACAGGAGTAGCTATATTTACATCTGATAAAGTAGACTTCAGAGCAAATAAAATTACCAAAGACAAATGAAGACAATATGTCATGATATAATAATCATTCCAATAATAATATACAATTATTCTAAATGTGTACACCCCAAACCACAAAGCCTCCAAACACATGAGGCAAAAAGCAATACCACTGAAAGGAAAATAGACAAATCCACAAATGCAACTGTATATTTTGACACCTTTGTCTCAGCAATTTACAGAAATTATATAAAAAGTCAACAGATATACAGGAGTCCCAAAAAAACAGAATTTAATTGACACATATACAGGACACTACTACCAGGATCAACAGAATAAACACTCCGACAAGTGCCTATGAAATATGAAGCAAGATATATTCTGTATCATAAAAAAACTCAACAATTTTTTAAAAATTAAAATTATGGGAATATGATCTCATAATAAAATCAAACTTGGAATCAATGAAAGAAATACAACAGGAAAATCTCTAAATATGTTGAAATTAAACAATGCATTTATAAATAATTCATGTATCAAATAACCCTCAGTAAAACTAAAAAAAAATACATAGAACCAAAAGGAAACAAAAATACACATTAAAATATGTAGGATGCAACTAATATAGTTCTGAGAGGGAGATTTATAAGACTAAATGCTGTGACTGAAGAAAAGCCTCAAAGAAATAATTGAAGTTACCACTTCAATAGAGGAAAGGAAGAAGAAGTTAAACTTAAGTAAAAGAAAGTAAATTATAATAAAAGCAGAAATCAATAAAATTGATTGCAAATTCCATGTAAAATTAAAAGCTGGAAAATAATAAAGAAAACCAATATAACAAAGAGTGGATTCTTTAAAATTTTTTTATGAAATTAATAAATTTTTAGCGAGATCAAGAAAACCCATGAAACAAAAAGCAGATTCTTTAAAATTTTTTTATAAAATTAATAACTTTAGCAAGGCTGAGAAGTAAAAAAAGAAGACACAAATCACAAATATCAGAAATGAGAGAAAGAGGATATTATTGCAGATCTTGCAGCCATTACACAGAATTATAAAGAAATGCAATGAACAACTTTACATTTGTAAATTCAGAAACTTTGAGGAAATTGGCCAACTTCTAGAAAACCATGAACAACCAAAAATCAACAAGAAACAGCTTATAATCCAAAGACCATTACAACAATTGAAGAAACTGAATTAACAGTTTAAAACCTCCTAAAAATGAAATTTCCAGATCCAAATGCTTTCACTAGATAATTCTGTCAATCTTTAAATTAAAAATTAACATCCATTTTACACAATCTCTTTCTAAAAATAGAACAGTAAAAACAGTTTTCAATTAATTTTATAATGCCATATAAAATAACCAAAATCAGATAAACACATTGCAACAAAAAAATACAGACTAATATCCCTCATGAATTTGGCTACAAAAATTATTCAACGAAATATTAACAAACTAAATGCAACAATTTATTTTAAAAAATGTATATACAATTACCAAGTGATATTAATACCAAGTATCTAATGCTGGTTCTACATTTAAAATTTTATTAATGTAATCCAACATTCAATGAACTAAAGAAGCAAAATCATGTGACCACATCAATTGACACATAAAAAGCATTTGACAAAATACAAGACATAATTATAATAAAAACTCTCAATAAATTAGTACTGGAAGATGGTTAGCTCAACTTAACGGGCATCTAAAAAAAAAAAAAAAAAAAAAAAACCCTACATCTAACATCATACTTCATGATGAAAGACTTAATACATTCCTCTTAGCTTAGGAAAATATCGGGGACATCCTCTCTCAACACTCTTATTTAACATCATACTGTAAGTTCTAACCACTGCAATAAAGCAAGAAAAAGAAATTTAAAAAAATACAGACTGAAAAGGAAAAATAAAATGGTCTCTATTTCCAAATTATTTTCTACATAAAAAAAAAAACCCAAGGAATCCACAATCAACTTCCTACAACTAAGTTAACACAGGACAGTTGCAGGATAAAACACCCACACCCAAAAATCTAGAAGAAAAAGGGAAGGGACTCTATCTAATAAATGGTTCTGAGAAACCTGGTTAGCCACATGCAGAAGAATGAAACTGGACCCCTATTTTTCACAATATACAAAAATTAACTTAAACCTAAACCTAAAACTTAAACCTAAAACCTGAAACTATAACAATTTCAGAAGAAATTCTAGGAAACAACACTTCTGTACAAAAAATTTAGGACTAAAGCCCCAAATAGAACTTAGGACTAAATCTAAAAGCAAATACAACAAAAATAGATCAATGGGATTTAATTAAACTAAAAAAGTGTCTACAAAATAACAATAAACATACAACCTACAGAATGGGAGAAAATATTTGCAAATTCTGCATCCAACAAAGAACTGATATCCAGCATCCACAAGGAACTCAACAACTCAAGTGAAAAACAAATAATCTCAGTAACAAGTGGGCAAAGGACATGAATAGACATCTCTCAAAAGAAGACATACAAGTAGCTAGCAAACATATGATAAAATGCTGAGCATCACCAAAGATCAGAGAAGTGTAATTTAAAATTATGGTAATATCCCAACTTACACCAGTCAGAATGGCTATTCTTAAAAAGTCTAGAAACAACAACTATTGGTAAGGATGTGGATAAAAGGTAACACTTATATATAATTATATATATGTAAAGAAAAGGTAACACATATACATATTTCATGTGGTAACGTTTATATGCATACTTCATGTATAATCATAAATCTTCTTAGGAAGGAAATTTCTGGGCATAATGGCTTCAAATATGTAAAGAAGAATTAACACCAGTCCTTCTCAAATTTTTCCAAAAACATGAACAATAGGAAACGTCTTCTAACTCATTCTATAAGGCCAACATTATCTTGATATCAAAGCTGACCAAATACACTACAAAGAAAAAATACAGACCAAAAATCATTATGAACATAGATGAAGAAACCCTCAGTAAAATGCTAGCAAACTGCATAGTATATATTAGAAGGTATATACACTATGACCAAATGAGATTTATTTCTGAAATGCAAGGATGGTTCAACGTATGATAACTGATCAATGTGATAACCACAATAAAATGAAGGAGAAAAACAAAATGATCATCTTAATTGATGAAGAAAAGACATTTAACAAAACTCAACACTTTCATGATATAAACACTCAAAGTGCACTCAGTCATGAGGTAGAAGGAAACTACCTCAATATGATAAAAATTCATATATAAAAATCCCATACTTACATTATACTTAATGATAAGACTTTGAAGCTTTTCCTTTAAGATCAAGAAGAGGGCAAGGATACTTCCTTTCACCACTTTTATTCAACATTATAATGGAATTTCTAGTTTAAAATATTAGGCAAGAAAAAGAAATAAAAGGCATCATCCAAATTGGAAAGGAAGAATTGAAACTTTTATGTTTCCAGAGGACATAATTTTATAGGTAGAAGAATCTAAAGATTACACCAAACTGTTAGGAATAACAAATGTATTCAACAAAGTGACAAAATAGAAAATCAACATACCAAAACTGGTTCCATTTCTATACAGTAACAATAAACACTATGAAAGGGATACTATGAATACATTTCCATTTATGATAGCATCAAAAAGTACTTAAAACAAAGTACTTAATAATTAATTTAACAAAGGAGTTTAAGATGTCCATACTGTTTAAAGTGATCTACAAATTCAATACAATTACCATAAAAATCCCAATGATTTTTATTACAGAAATAGAAAAATTTATACTAAAATTTATATAGAATCTCAATGAACCCCAAAAGCAATCTTGAAAAACAAGAACAAAGCTGAAGGAGTCACATTTCCCAATTTCAAAACTTACTAGGAAGCTACAGGAATGAAAACAGTGTGGTATTGGCATAAAGACTAATATATTACCAATGGAATAGAATAAATGGTCCATAAACAAAGGCTGGCATATATGGTCAAAAGATACCACTGAATTTTTACAAGTGTGCTGAGACCATTTAATGGAGAAAAAACAGTCTTTTCAACAAATGGTACTGGAGAAACTAGATTTCCACGTGCAAAAGAATAAAACTGAACCCTTATGTGGCTTTAACACCACATACAAAAATGAACACCACATACAAAATGAACTCAAAATGGATGCTATAACACCACCTACAAAATGTGTCTGTATAGCACCACATACAAAAATGAACTCAAATGCATCACACAGGTAAACATAAGACCTTAAAACTATAATACTCTTAGAATAAAATATAGGGCAAAAGCTTCATAATATTGTTTCTGCCAGCGATTTATTGTATACACCAAAGGTAGACACAACAAAAGAAAAAAATAGACTAATTGGATTTCATAATTGTTTTTCATTGTTCATTAAAAGACACTATCAACAGAGTAAAAAGGCAACTGAAAGAATGAAAGAAAATATTTTAAATCATATAAGAAGAGTAATATCCAAAATACATAGAGAATTCCTAAAACTCAACAACAAAAAAAAGGTGATTTTAAAACGGGCAAAGCGCTTAAATAGACATTTGCCTAAAGAAGATATACAAATGGTCAATAGGCACATGAAAGATCTCAAAAGCACTAATCATTAGGGAAATGCAAATCAAAACCATGGTGAGATACCACTTCACACCCATAAGGATGGCTACTATTGGGAAAAAAAAAGGAAGTGTGGTGTGGACATGGAGAAACTGGAAACATGCCTGGCTAGTAGAAATGTAAAATGGCATAGCCACTGTGGAAGACAGTACAGTGGTTCCTCAAAAATTTAAAAACAGAATTACCATGTGATCCAGCAATTCTACTTCCAGGTATATACACCTAGAAATTGAAAGCATAGTTTTGAAGATATATTTATACTGCCATGATTATAGTGACATTATTTATAATAGCTAAAACACAGAATGATCCCAAATGTTCATCAACAGATGAATGGGTAAACAAAATGAAGAACGTAAATACAACAGAATAGTATTCGGCTTTAAAAATGAGGGAAATTCTGACATAGTACAGTATAGCTGAAACTTGAGGGCTTTTGCTAAGTGAAATAAGCCAATCACACAAAGAAAAATACTACATTATTTTACTTATGTGAGATACCTATAGTAGTCAAATTTGTAGAGTCAGAAAGTAGAATGGTGGTTTTTCAGAGAACAACGGGAGGAATGAATGGGGAGTTATTGTTTAATGAAATGAGTATTAGTTCTACAACATGAAAATATTCATGAAGATAGAGGGTAGTGATGGTTGTACAACATTATGAATGTATATAGCACCACTAAATTGTACACTTAAAAAGGTTAAAATGGCAGTTTTATATTACATGCATTTTACCACAAGAAAAAAACTGGAAAACGAATGCATTGGTGAGTATATTGTCAAAATGAGTATAACCAGAAAAATAATTTTAAAACACTTTAATTTTTGTAGTTCTAATTACCATTTCAGGACCACACATGGAACCATCTTGTACAAATGTTTCATCTCTGTCTTCAACTTGATAATACATTGTGGCTGAACTAGGTGGATTTTCTGGAACTGGCTTTTTCCTGGGTAGAACTGTAGACACACATATTTCATCTCGTACGTGTGCGTAAATCACAGATAAATTTGGACGTGTTATCAAATCTCTGTGTTCCCATGAACAGACTAATTTTCCACATAGAATATGTCTAGAAGCATACGGAAGAAAAAAATTACCTTATTGTTTATTGAGATAACATAGATTGCTGATATAGTGAAATTTTTAAAAAGTATTTTACTAATTTAAATCCAAATTTCAACAATTTTCTCTCAATACGTATTTTTTGCATAATGACTTATGATATGGTTCTTTTTTGTTTCATGAGGCTGTCTGGCAAGTGAAAAATCAGTGGTTTTTACACTGTGACAGCTGTGATCTGTTCTACAATAGTTGCTGAAATTTGAGAAAACAATCTCTGGTCTTCAGTTTTTTCAATGGTATAAGGGATAAGTAATTCTTACACACATTTCGTGTATATAAATATGTATGTTTATAACCTATATTATAAATATATAATATATGTATAAGCTGCATAACAATGTCTAGCTCATCACAACAATAAACAGAGGCCATTGTCATAGTCATTGTTGTTTTAACATTACAGACACTGAACACATATTCTTGTAGGCAGTGGATAATACTGTCCAGCTCAGATTATGTAATAAGGAAAACCTGACCCCCAAAATGCCATTTTACTGCATATGTTTTCCAGGATTTTAGCAATCTCTAACCTGTATTTCAAATAGATTTATAATTTTCTAATTACATACTGAAAAATACAATGTTCTCTGCCACAGTTTCCAAAGTTGTCTCCTCTGGTATTTATTTCATCAAAACAGAAAATCGGAGCACCTGTTGCACCTATGAACAACAACAAAAACTTAAGTAAATTACAACACAGAACTTAAGTTATATCATAGAAATGACAGACTCAATCTAGAAATTATAGTGTGATCCACAGGAAAGTTTACAATTACCCAGAACTAAAAAATTTCTGGGGGCAGAGCTAGGATTAAAAAGCAAACTCCTTTTTATAAGCCTAGAAGACTTTCTTCTGCATCAAACAGAAAACAAACAGCAACATTATTAGAATGGTTCCGTATTGTTAGACAAATAAGCAACGGTCACCCTCTCTATTTCTTATAAATTATTTACTTCCTGCATTACTTCCCTATCCGATGTGAACATGCTGTTTACTCTTATTCCAAATGACATGGTAGAAAAATAGTATCTGTAGTGCAATAATGATAACAAACACAAAGAACATTTAGCTCTTCTTTCTCCACACTAGAGTACTCATACATTATTAGATTATTATTAGTTCCTAATAATTATTAGATGAGCCTAATCGCTAAATAAAAATTGTTGGATTTTAAACTTATGAGAATATCAATGTTCATCTACTTCAGCCCTTTATATATTTAGTTATATCTAATTTTAAAATTTTGAAAAATTCAAACATCTATAATAACTGTCCTATTACTATGACTTGGTAGTTTAGAGGTAGCTTACATTGATCATGTTAGTCATATATGTAATCAAAATAGAGATCATTTGTTGTTAACACTATGAATTAAGAAGAGAGCTCTCTTCAATAATTTCACAGATTTTCATACTTGTAGAACACGATCTACAAAGTTCATTCTCCTAAGGGGCACAATCCATACATGTACAAGATGCTACAGAACAGGCCAGGACAGATTCATGAGTGAAATCCAGCTGCAGCAGCAATTCTTTTTTGATAAAGCCTACTCTTGAACTCACCCAATAAGTAAACAGCTTTTGTGTGCATTTCTCCAAACAAAGTGCTTCTTTGATTAAGTCTAGTTTAAACTTCCCAGTTCCTCTAAACTATATACAGAGCCACAATTCGAATGGCTCAAAATTTAAGGTATAACTCAAGAATAAAAGATAAATAACATCTGAAGGCAAGAGTATAAAGAAATCAAAATTAGTGCAAGAAAAATCTATGATGAACAAAATACTAAAACTCTAGACAGGGACAGGTCATTTTTCCATAACCCTGCTTTACTGAGGAACAAGCACAACCTTTGCAATTAGCCAGTGGTTCCCTGGTGAGGCCCAGGAAGCCTTCTCTGCAAACTTCTGAAACCCACTGACCCAACCCAGAGTGGCCCCAGCAGCCTACCTTGCCCAGGAGAAAAAGCAGCAAAACATGGGATATTACCACATCCCCTCGAGTCTCCTACAATTCTTAATAGCCTAACATCTCTCTGATGCCACTTTTCAGCACCATTTTTGAGGGTCAGGATGGAAGGAATTTCTGCAGGTTTTTTGTTTGTTTGTTTGTTTTGGTTGGTTGGTTGGTTGTTTGTTTTTGACTCTCGAGGTCCCATTGCTCTGGGTGACCCATTGCTGGCCAGAAATTTCTTTTCCTCCCAGGATGATGATACCTGCGCAGGGCAGTCCTGCCACCTAATTATTCAAGGGCTCTGGGAGATTTAGGCATTTTCTTCAGCAGCTTTCCTATTCCTGCCTCCATTTCATGGGCTTTGAACTGAGGTCTCCACAACACCTAAAAGCGCAGTTTAGGAAAGGCAGTGACTAGAAGTTAAGTTGGGAAATTTTAGGACAAATCCTTGTGACATCCGAAGTCACTGTGCTGGCACTTCAAGGTGCACAGTCAATAGAGGGAAAGACAATGTCAAAGGCTGGTCATGTTAGGAACCGCAATCACCTGCTGTGGAAATGCTCTTGGAGGAGATTCTTTATAAGGTTGCCTGAGTGTATTTTTTGTTCCGTTGTGTTGTGGGGTTTTTTGCCTAGTATGGGCCAAGTAAAAGTCACGATTTGTTTGGGAATTTGTTTCTGTTTTTCTTTTCTTCTTTTTCTTTGTTTTCTTATACAGTTGCAAAAATCGTTGGACACAAAACCTCTGTTTTGTGGTTGCTTATGTAATTGTTCACCTTGGTTGTTAATTCCTTGTGTTGTGTAACAGTGCTTTCCCACCCCATCTGAATCCCCAGAGCAGGCCTGCGATGAAGGCTCACAGGTATTTGTGTTTCTGCTTATTTGGTTAGGAAACCAATGTCCTGCATGTGGTTACTTTGACTACTACTAAAAGCTACTGCTTCTAAATTTGGCCCCTTTGGGGCATCAGAATTGAGATGTAGAGGAAATACAAATAAAACAATGCATCATTTTAGTCTCCTGCAGTTAAATATCTGAAGCAGGGAGAAGATAAAGGTGAGATGAGATAGTTCCGTAAAACTAGATTCCATATAAAAATATTTCCAGACCACACTTATCACTAAAATGTCTAATTGAGCAAAAAGTATCAAAATATAATAAAACAGGCCCTAGCTGGGAACAGAGGGTCTCATAAATATATTCTCTGGTATAAAATAGAAAGAAGTTGCGAACAGTGTGGACCTGTGCTTGGATTGCCAAGGCTAAAGTGACTAGGCTGAGTAGCACATTAGTAAGCAAAGAAAATAAAATTATGCAATTTTCACAATTAGAATTTACTCAGGTGAGCTGAAATTAATTGAATCTCATACAATCTTTGATCTCTTCAATCAGCCTTTGAAGTTTGGTATCATCAGTGGCTCTTGGACCAAGTCTCCTGCAGTTTTTAATCATGCCAGAGTAGACTGAAATGTTATATAGGTTCTATGAAGTCTATTACATTGGCTATAAGGGAGTATAAACTTTTTAGGAATAGCTTCAACACCCTATTTTATCACCTAGCCATGATTTGTCAGCTAAAGGAAGAACTTTGTCTGAAATAGTCAAAAGATTATTGACTATTCATAATTATTCAAAAGAAACTTCTGAAAGACATCTATAAATTTAAGGATGTCCAGGATTAAATGGTTATATACACAACTGGTTCCAAATTTTATGCAATACTAAGTTCCATATATAATTTTACTTTTTCAAACATGTCAGAATTTCTTTCAGTGAACTGAGAGGTAAAAGGTGCCTTCAGGACCTCAAAGCAGCCTTCAGTAAACATCTTTACTGTGTTTTCCAGATTATCATAAATGTTAGTGTCTATGTGTTCAGTAAAGCTCAATTATATAAAATCACATTATAGGAATATTTACCCAACTGCCCAGTGCTCATCAAAGTTCCATCACCTGTTTATAGTCTGTTCCTTAAATCCAGAGCAATTGCACCTTTAGATAAATTAGTTGAAGCATCCTCAGACCTTGTACAAGGATTACATTTAAATTTCATAGTGCTATATAATAAATAAGCCTGAATATATATGCTGAAAACTCCAAACATATTTTGTTAGTTGATTAAATAATCATGAAATATTGTTTATTTCTCCTCACGCAACTATTCATTAATCCAGCAAATCTTTTATATTTCCTTAGTAAGTAACCTTCTATGGTTTGGAAAATATCTATGCCCAGGGCCAATCTTTGTGACACTTTCCTAAGAATACTGATCCAATATGGTTTTTGATAGATCATATCTTAAAATTGAAAAGGAAACCAGGTTGGTTTTGCAAAAACTGTTCAGACTTTAGTGTGGAATGTAATCCCCTTTCAGAGTCTTAATCAGCATAAGTAGTCAAACTTTTGGCCCTCTCTAGAGAAGGAGGTCTCAGTGTAGCATGACTGACATAATTCTTCGTTGTACAGGCTATCCTTTATCTTTTGTATTGTTAGCATTTAGCAGCATCCCTGATCCCTATTCGCAAGGCCAAGATTCACTCCACCCAAGCTGTGACAGCCGAAAGGGTCTCCAGGCTTCTGTCCAGTGGGCAGAGGACATGGTGCTGCAAAATATTCTACAATGCATAGGAGAAACACTCCCTACCCCAACTCCTCACAAAAAAGTATGATGTGGTCTAAAATATCACTGGTGCTGAGGTTGAGAAACCCTTACATAACTGTTGGATTAGCGCTTACATTTGTCTAGACGATACACAACCCAAGTTGATGATAAAGCCCTCTGCAGAACTTTACAACTAATGAGACTTTCAAACTTATTGGGGCAAATATAACTGCAATCCAAATAGGAAGTTTCTGCATTTGCAGATATAACACTGAAGAGGAGCATACTCTAGGGGCCAGACACTTACAAAACCAAAATTTGGTAAAGAGCTTAGAAAAATTGGTCACCAGTTAAGGTGTTTGTCCTTTACTTGTTTAATTCCTTTGGAAAGAAAAAACTTAAATTCATTCTTTTACCATAGATCTATAGATTTCCTTACTTTAAATGCTACTGCTTGATAAACAAGCTACGTCTTTCAATATGACAACTTCATTAGCATATTTTGTAGAGAAACCAACAATTTGGGGGCACATGATGATTTGTATTAGGTCTGTGATATAAGAATCTTTATTCTTACAGAAATCATAACAAACAGTCTCTACGACCACAGTGCAGTCAAGTTAGAACTCAGAATTCAAAAACTAACCCGGAACCGCACAGCTTCATGGAAATTGAACAACTTGCTCTCGAATGTTGACTGGATAAACAATGAAATGAAGACAGAAATAAAGATGTTCTTCGAAACCAACAAGAATGAAGACACAACATACCAGAATCTCCGGGACACATTTAAACCAGTCTCTAGAGGAAAATATATAGCAATAAGTGCCCACATGGGAAGCAAGGAGACATCAAAAATTAACACCCTATCGTCAAAATTGAAAGAGCTAGAGGAGCAAGATCAAAAAAACTCAAAACCTAGCAGAAGACAAGAAATAGCTAAGATCAGAGCAGAACTGAAGGAGATAGAGACACAAAAAACCCTTCAAAAAATCAATAAATCCAGGAGCTGCTTTTTTTGAAAAGATCAACAAAATAGACAGACCACTAACCAGATTAATAAAAAACAAAAGAGAGAATAACCAAATTGATGCAATAAAAAACGATAA